ATATTTATTAGTTGAATTAATATAAAGAGTTTAATAGAATAAAGTCATCTTACAAGTTCTACCCATTTTCAATTATTTCTTCTATTTGATAAGATTTAGTACTTATGCAATAATCATGTCAAAAATAGATACTTCATATTTCTAACTATTGAAAAACAATGAACATGAAATAAATGTTTAGAAGCTAATTGAAAAGGAAAATGATCAACTATGGAAAGATTTTGAAATCCTAAACTTGATTGTATGAAATATGCTTAATATTGTTCAAGAAAATAGTTTTCATTTTTGAATTGCAAATGTCATTATTACAAACAATCAGTTTGACTAAAAATATCTTTACAAAAATATTTTTCATCAATATGACCTAAAGCAATGTCATTTATTTAAATCATATCATCACTTAGTGCTTAGTAGAATTTGGAGATATTTTTCTTAGGAATATTTTTTGTTTTTTTTTCAAATAATCATCAATTGTTTATTGCATAGATTAAGATACTCATCTTCCAATTATTTGATTAACTTGATCTAATCAGTAATTATCAGATATATTCGATATACAAACAAACAAGAACATCTGTCGATTTATGATTATTTCACAATATTCTGATCATTATTATAATAATCATTCGATATATTAATATAAATTTATCATTGATATTATTTCTTATTTCAACTAACAATAAAACAATCTAAACCCACCATACTATTAGACCATACCGGCCAGTCAATATACATGATTTCAACGATGAATGTAGTTAATTGTTTGAGATGACCATTAAGTAAAGAGAGACAATCGGCAAAGAAACACACATTAATACGTAATACACATAAAGTTGAAGAGAAACAATTAGCTAGGTCTTGATTATCATACATTGAGAAAGGTGGATAATTGTACACAGATGATGGAACAATTGTTAAGTATTTGAGATTTTCGAAGAGAACTATTATAGATTCATACACATTTGTTATATAAGTAGACCATGGTTTCTTATTAGTATCTTCATCATTGTTGTGAAGAATAAGCTCCGTTATCTGATGTTTAAAAATATGTCGAAAGGACGAGTCATCTAAATAAAAACAAATAAAGTTATTTATTTGCTTTGCAATCTGATCTTTTGGTAAGTAAGAACATATTAAACATCTACCTGTAAAATAACGAAAAACTACTTCTTCTTCAAAACCAAACAGTTCCAAAGAAGTCAAATTTGGATAATCACCAGCAAGAAGAATACGTTCCATTGATGTTGTTTCAAGAATGAGTTTTTTTATACAATGATGTTTTTGAGGTAATATTGAAGTACAAAATCGATCAAGCATTTTGTCTGTAATTAATACATTTACAAAATTAAGAGTATTATTAAACACATCATCTTGTATTAAAGTATTAAGTCGTTTATTATGAATTCCAAATAGCGAATAAAGAACATCAATGTTGTTGAGTTTCTTTAAGATGATAAACAATATTTCATTGGGTAAATCATCAAGAAAAAGGTCAAACCGATTCATGTTTGATTATGACTGTCACCTCCTCAGTACATACACACATATATATATATTTTCTGATATCCGTTTCCATTGGTGACGAATAGTATAGTGACTGCGATGCACAATGGAATATG